ATTTTGGAATCATCCAGGTTGCTGTATTGCATCCGTTCATTGCTTTTTACCGTCGAAAGTATTATTCCATTGTGTTCATATAATGGAAGATGATACTTGGGTTGTTTTAGTAGTTTTTGATTATTATCAGTGCCGCTAAAATCATGAGTTTTTATACAAGCGGTCTGTGTGGACATATGTTGTTTTCATTTATCTAGAATGGCTGTATTGGATGATAAAACATGTTTTAATTTTAAAGAACATGCCAACATGATTAAAATAATAATTGTAATGTTTTACATTCTTACCTATTAGGAAAGGAGTGTACCAGCTCTTCCACAACCTGGTTACACATACTGGGGAATTAGGACAGAGAAACATTTTACTTTATTTAAAAAAATTTTTAAATGTTTATTTATTTTGAGACAGCCTGAGTGGGGTGGGGGGAGGGGTAGGAGGAGAGAGAGAGGGAGTCACAGAATTTAAGAAGGCCCAGAGGCTCTGAACTGTCAAAGGAAGAGAGCCTGCATATGGGGCCAAAAGCCGGAACTGACACCTGAGCTGAAACTGACATCACTCCCCTGAACGGAACCTGAGCCACCCAGGCCTGCCTCAACATTGTCATTTTAATTTTTTAACTGTATGCGTTAATAGATATGTAGTGGTACCTTATTATGGTTTCAGTTTCAGATCTTTCTCTTATGACTAGTGATTGCAAAAAGCCATCATCTCCATGCTTATTAGGATATTTCCACATGGTATAAAGTTTCTGGTCACATATTTTCCTATTTGTTTTCTTATTATTGAGTGGTAGTAGAGTTCTTGTTCCAGGCAATTGGTCGTGAATCTGGCACGGTGTTTTCTTTCATTGTATGTAGCTGGCCTTTTTTTTAGTCTGTGGAGGTTTTGAAGGGCAGAAAAGCTTTTAATATTGGTAAAGTTCAATGGACCAATTTTGGTTTTCTGTTTTACACCTTGTAAAAGTTTTAATCCTGCCTATGAGAAGGTTGTAGAAAATTTTCTTCATGTTTTCTTTAGGAAGTTTTGAGCATCCCCAGCTTGTATACATAATTTAGGTCAGCCTATTCCGTTAATTTTGAGCATGGTGGCATACAATTTTTAGATAAAATAAATATTCAGCTATTTTCGCAAAACATGGAGAAAAGAATTGCTTTTGACATCTTTGTCCAAAATCACTTGGACCACATATATGTGAGAGGCTTGGTTTAGATTTACATTTTCTTCTATTGACCTCTCTATATATATCTCAACACTACACAGTGCTGGCGAGGAAGTTTAATAATAGGCCTGAAAGGGTCCACAAATTTTTTCTTTTTAAAATTACTTGACTATTTTAAGCTATCATTTCCAATTTTAGAATCAACTTTCCTGAATTCCACAAAAAAAAACCCTGCTGAAATTATTAAAAATTTGTATCAACTAATAGATGAATTTAGAAGAGAATGCATTCTTTTAAATATCGAAGTCTTTCTAGCTCCCTTATTCATCATTTGCTCATAGAATGTTCTTAAAGTTCGTTCAATTCTTTTCACCGGAGAGATTTTTTACATATGTTTCTCATATTATGAGATTAATGCCGCTATTATCATTATTTGTATAGGTTTTACATGATCATATAGGTTGTCATTTCTGCATAAATCCCCCTTGCTAAGTTGTGGGAAGGTTGGTAAATATATTTTAGTTTTAGAAGAATTGCTCCAACTGCTCTTAGTGGCTTGTATCATTTTATTCCTTACTGTGACATTATCAATATTTTTGGACCTCCACCCCTTCTGACAGGCAGGGAGATACCCTCACTGTGATTTTAATTCATGTTCTCTACATATTAATGGTATTTAGTCAACAACTTTTCTCCCATGTTTATTCATCATTTGTATACTGCGAAATGTTTTTATTCATGTTCAACTGAATTTTTTTTCTATTAGATAGGTTTTTTATTGTTGTTGCTGTCAAGTTTGTTTTCTGCTGCTTTGGAGATTATATTAAAAAATTTTTTTTTAACATTTATTTTATTTTTGAGAGTCAGGGCGAAAAGGTAGGGGCAGAAAAGGGAGACACAGAATCCGGCATGGTTATTCGAAGACAAAGCACAGAGCCCAATGCAGGGCTCAACCCAGAACCATGAAGCCAAGGACCTGAGCTGAAGTCGGAGTTTAACTGATTGCTTTTCACCCAGGCAACCCTTCCTCTTTTATATCTTCATAAAAGTCTTTTTATTGCTTTTGTGGTATTCGGATATTTTGTATTTCATTATTTGTTTGTATATCTTAACAGAGTCATTTGTAGATAAGAAATGCTTTTTAATTAATGAGGTCAAATTTATCAGTTGTCTTCTGTTATGGATGATGCATTTGAATTCATATATCTGGGCTAACTCTTTGACTAACCCTAGATCCCTTTTTATTTTCTTTTTCTTTTTCCGTCTCCAAATTTTATGTTTCTTTTACATTAAATTTGTGGATTCATGTGGGGTTAATTTCATGAGATGTGGGGTAAGGTTTGGCTGAGGTGTATTCTTAATGTCTATGGATGGCCAATTGTTCAGCACCATTTGTTAGAGAAAGGTTGTCTTCCATTTAATTGTGCTGTGTACCTTTGTCAAAATTAGTTGACTATTTGAGTGTGAGTCTATTTCTGCCTTCATTCTCTGCTTACCTTGTATGTCTACTTTCTGCTAAAATTTGGCATGGTCTTGATCATTGAAGCTATATAATAAGTCACAAGAATGCACAATAACTTTCTCCCACTGTTTTTCCAAAACAATTGTTTTGCTTTTGTATCCTTTCCTATAGAAAAACATAGAATAAACAT